CTGGGTGGGGAAGGGCAGAGCAGAGGGGGCCAGGAGGAAATGTCTCCCTAGAGGATGGAGGGCTGAGACTGGGAGGAAGACAGAAGGGACAGGGCAGGTCCCCTGGTGACCAGCCGCCAGGAGCGCAGCCTGGATAATCTCGTTAGCTGTGACTCTGCAGAAGGGCTAGCTCCTGGTCACCCGCTGCTCCTTCCTGCCACCCCCAGTGGTGAGGTCAGCTCTGGGGTCAGGGCCAGGCCAGGAGGTGGAGAGGTGGTCGCCTGGGCAAGTGCTACCCATGAGAGTCCCCAGCCCCCAGGCTCTCAGCTGCCCCTTCCAGGACTGTCTCCTCACACCTTCCCCTGCACCAGACCCTGACCCTGCACACTCAGAGGGGACCCCCAGAGCCAGAAGGCGGCCAGCACGTACAGGGGGTCCCATTTCACAAGCCCCATCCCACTTTCCACACACCCCAAAGGGCTCTGTTTACCGCTTCACAGACACCGCGGAAATCGGGCCTGGAGGGCTGGCGTGGCCTGGCCACCAGGGTCTGCGTGGGAGGATCTGATGGATGACACAGGAGGGGTTTGGGGAGTTCCCAGGGAGCCTGGAGGGATGGGAAGTGAGGATCCCCCAGTGAGGGCCCAGCCAAGGGCAAAGGCAGGGCGCCCTGTCTCTGTCCCAGCACTAGTTAGAAAATCCCAAGTCTTGGGGAACCAGCAGTTAGCATAATGGCTATGTCGCGGGACTCCCACGTAGTCAACCGCAGTTCGCATCCCGGACCCGGTGGCTTAGAACTCACGCTGAGCGCGTGTGCGTGCGTGCCCAAGATCCCGAGAGGAGAATGGAGGAGAAGGGATTGCGGCGTGACCATCCCCCCTGGGGGGTGATTTCTCACTTTCTGTCTCTCTGTCTCTCTCTGTCTGTCTGGCGAGTGCACACGCCCTATAGCGAAAACCTCTCCAAAAAAAGAAAAGAAAAGAAAAGAAAATCCCAAGTCTTGAGATCAGCAGATGGCGGAATGGTTACTGGACTCCTACGTAATGGATCACAGCTCGAGTCCCAGACCCGGTGGCTTAAAACTCATACCAGGTGCATGTGCGTGCGTGCCCAAGCTCCTAAGAGGAGAATGGAGGAGAAGGGATTGTGGCATGGCCATGCTCCCTGGGGGAGTGATTTCTTGCTTTCTGTCTCTCCGTCTCTGTCTGTCTCTCTAGTGAGTGCATGAGCCCTATGGCAAAATCTCTAAAACCAAACCAAAACAAAACAAAAAAATAAACTCATGCCAGACAGGTGTGCATGCATGCCCGAGATCTCTGTCTCTGGTGAGCAAAAATATTTCAAAAAAGAAAGAGAAAATTCCGAGTCTGGGTAATGGGAGAGAGCGAGGTTCACTCAGTCACAGTTGGAGCGCCAGGGTCCGGGGGCCTCGGCGGTAAGAGCGCTCCTGTTGGTAGGGCCCCGAGACCACCTGGGGGGTCGCATCACAGGGAGCAGGAGTACATGTCCCTGTTACCCCCTGGCACCATATGGGCCCCTCCCAGGCTCCTTCCCTGCCTAACCCCAGGAGTCAGTCACGGGCCTGCCCGTCACTCCCCGAGGCCCAGCCGTCCAGCACCAGGGAGGTACCACGTCTTCTCGTAATGCTTTCACCACCAGCTCGCCACACAGGTTTTTGGGGGAAACACACACCACAGTGTGAGCGGTCGGTGGCACGTGCTGAGACGGGGCCAGTGCCAGGAGGACGGAAACCAAGGAGTTGGGACAGGGTTGGGCCCAGGGCAAGTGGGGATGGCAGGTCTGCAGCCCGTCCAGACGCAGGTCTGTGCGGGCGGCCGGAGGTCTGGCGGCGGGGGATGCCGTGACAGCCCGTCCTGGCCTGCTTGGCATTGCCCTCTGCCCGACACCCACACAGATGGCGTGCTGGCTGAGGGGACATGACTCAGCCGAGGGCCCGCCATCCGGCTCTGCACGCCATGTGGACGTAGCTGTTCTGTGCATGGAGCTGCTCGGGAACACCCCCTACTGGGCGGTGCCCTCCGGGCCCTCTGTGCCCCCACGGTGGGGACACCTTTGGTTAGGGTGTGCTGAATGACTGACAGCCCAGCAGCTATTTGAAGGCTTCCTGAGAGGCAGGCAGGGTGAGCTGTGGCTTATCTGCACATAACAGCCCAAGGAAGTCAGCAGAACACCAAGGCTTTGCTGGGTCACACGGCGACCCCGGGGTGCTGCAGTTGCTCCCCCTGCGCTGTGTCGGGCACCCGCCACGGGAAGACACAGGCTTGAGGGACACACGAGCCCACGCCAAACAGACAAACAGATGCACAGGTCGACCCAACTATACTCTGCAGGGACAACCTTGCCCACAAAGCCCTGCAGAGGAGTGACACGCCCGTGTAGACACGCCCATGCCTGCAGACACGCCTGAGCTCACGCTCTCACACATACACAACCCACACAGTGCACGGCAGCAAGCCATACATCCCTGGGCATAGCTGTGCCTATGCACACACACGCGCGCACGCGCACGTACACACACATGCGCACTCCACAGCGCCAGTCCAGGGGCCGGTTGTTGGCGCAGTGGTACTGGGAGGGTGCTGAGGCTGACCTGTGTAGGAAGGTTCTGGTCACGTGCATGCCCATGATCTGGGGCTGGCTGAGGCAAGGGGCAAATTGAGGTGTCAGGACCCTGCTGGGGGTGCTGTATGTTTCTCTCACCCAATAAATAAATAGATGTTGTTTTTATTTTTTAAAGACAGCCTGGGGGCCAGCAGGTGGCATGGTGGTTAAGGTGCCAGACTCCCACATGGCCAGCTATAGTGAGTCCCTGACCTAGGGGTTTGCTTTCTCTCTCTGGTGAGTACACATGCCCTATAGCAAATTAAATAATAATAATAATAATAGGATCAACAGATGGCACAATGGCTATGTCGCTGGACTCTCAGGTAGTTGACTATAGTTTGAATCCTGAACCCCACGGCTTATAACTCACGCCGAGCGTGTGCGTGTGTGCCCAAAGTCCTGAGAGGAGAATGGAGGAGAAGGGATTGTGGCATGGCCATCCCCCCGGGCTGTGATGTCTCCCGTTCTGTCGCCCTGTCTCTCCAGTGAGCACATGTGCCCTATAGCAAAAATCTCTCTCTAAAAAATAATAATAGGGAGGCATGGTGGTTAAAGGTACTGGACTCCCACATGTCGACCACAGTTTGAGTCCTGAACCTGGCGGCTTGCTTTCTCATTTTTCTCTCTCTCACTCTATCTCTCTCTGGTCAAATTAAAATAAATAAAGGATAAATAAAGTTAAACAAAATAATTAAAAAGTAATAATAAATTAAATTAAATAAATCTTAAAAGAAAAAAAGCCAGCCTGCCACTGGAGACGCACCCACAGAAGTTAAATACACAGGCCCACAGTAATGCCACACATGTACACACACACACACACACACACACACACACACAAAATGCTGATAAAAATGCTCTCAGGTCACACAGGACCCCAGAAGCCCACACGGACTCACACCAAGTTCTCACGGGCCGTATTCCTAGCACACCGCCCTCTCACAGGTCCCTTCCCGCCCCCTTGTGCCCAGTGGTCCTGAGTCTGTTCTCAGTGGTCTCGGCCAGGGTCGTTTCTCCGCCTGCTGCCTGGGCCCTGCTCCTAGGGAGGGTGGAGAGGCGAGGCGAGCTGCTGACTCACCTCCCCAGACAGTTCCTCCAGTCCGCCACCCCCTCCCCAGAAGCCACCCCTCCCACTGCACAGCAGGGTGACCCCTTGCCCTGGGGCACCTGGATGCAGCAGAAACCGGCGGCCCCTGCGGAGGGCATGAGGGCACGGCCAGGGGGCCCTGGCTGGGACCACAGACAGGAGGTGAGTGAAGGCATGTCTAGCACCACATGGGCTCTGGGGACCCTCAGTGCCCTGCCTCCCCCTCCTGCTGCAGGATCGCAGAAATGGTGTGGGTGCTGGGTCTGGTGGCCCTAGGGCCTGGCGGGAGGGACTGAGGCCTGGAGGAGCCGGGGCCTGTCAGAGGTCCCTCTGGGCATGGGAGCAGAGGGGTCTTCCTGGTGGGGACAGGAAGCCAGTGGGAGGGAGGCTCCGGGAACCAGAGCCCGGCCCCCCCCCTTGACAACTCCCCTGACGGCGAGACAGGATGCAAGCCTGCCAGGAGGCATGTTCATGAACATGATAGAGCTTCCTGTCTGGGGGCCACAGGACACCGGGGACCGAGTGGCAGGGAGGCCTAGGATCCGCACATGCAGACCCTCCCAGAGCAGGCTGTGTGGTCCCTCGAGCCCCGGAGTGGCTGAACTGCAACATCCATCCTGCAGGAAGTTGGGGTGCCCGTGGGGCATGGGTGATAGTGAGACGGGGAAGGGGTTGTGGTCACTGGCAGGAGGGGACGGAGAGGGCAAGGCCACCGCTGCCCGCAGTCCAGCCCTTGGGTCAGGAGCACCCCTCCTGGTCTTGGGTATGAGATATCGACACAGGACTCTCTCCTTGCCGCACGGAGAGCTCTGGGAGGGCCGGCCCTGGTCAGTCACCGGGCCTGGGAGGCTGGTGTCACCCTCTGCAGAGGATGAGACTGAGGTACACCAGCTTCCTGGCCTCACTGGGGACCATCGCATGGCAAGAGGGGGGCTGAACTGGGCCGGGAACTCAAGTCCAATAGTTGTGAGACCCTGAGTTTTTGTAAGCTCCGCTCTCAGTCTGCCTCCCTGAAAAACAAGGGCGTCTGAGAGGGTCTCCCATGTCCCTCCTGGCCCTCCGTGGGCCGTGGACAGGGTGGGACCTGAGCCTGTGGCAGCTGGGACAGTGAGCTGTGCAGGGGTGTGGCTGGGGAGGGTGGGAGCAAGTCGGGCTGCAGGGTGCTGGGCCATGAAGAGCCGTGGTGGAGGGCAAGTCCCCGGAGCTGGCTGGGGCCTGGGAGTCCTGGGGTGAGAAGCAGAAGAGGGCAGCAGGGTGCTCCTGGAGACCGTGAGTGCGGAAGCCCTCCAGGAAGCCCTCCAGCTGGTCCCTGCAGGACACGCCCGTGCCCCTCCTCCTCAGTCCTTCTCAGTGCTCCAGCCGTGTGAGCAGGGAGCCCAGGACAGGCTCGAGGGACTGGCTCTTTTTTCTCTGGCTGGGCCACCTCTTTCCGCAGCCTTCTGGAAGGAGTGAATTGCATCCAGGGACCAGAAATCTCAGTAGTGTCTGGAAAACACTGAATCAGGGAGGAATTTCCTGGTCATTTCTCAATCCCTGGGCAATGTCCTAACCCCGGGGCCCGGAGCCCAGAATAGATCCCAGAGGCTGCCCTGAGATGGCCCAGGCCGCAGCCACCCCCTCGAGGACGGGTCCGCTGAACACCTCAGGTCCCATTCTGTCCTTCTACCCTTGGATTCTGAACCGGAATGATGGTGACTCAGAGATCTCCATCCAGGGCCAGAGAGGAAGATCGTGTTGGGGGGCGTGGGGGGTGGCAGGTGGCTCCATGATGGGGACAGAGAGGGGAGGGGGGCAGG